TATATATATATATATATATATTGGTTGTGAGTCTGGCATGTGCTAGTATTCTGATATTCTTCGTTTTTTATTCATTCATTTATTCGTCCCCATACTCATTCAATCTTTCATAATATATTTGTTGTTGGATTGTGTAAAAATTTTTAATTGCTTTGCATTATTAATAGTTGTGGAGTGAAAAATTTATTAAATTATTGAACGGGATGTATAGGACCATAGCGTGAGCTCAGTCTGGTTATTCGTTATATTTGTAGGCATAAAGATATTTTTTCACGGCAACAAGACAGTTGTCTTGGCAACTGTCTTTTTAATTTTTTGTCTTATTCTGCACGTGCGGATTACTGTGCGCATAATGCGGAATTTTTGTACTTTTGTAGAAAAGTATACTTCCTTTCTCCCTACTGATTAGAGAGAAAATTATGTAATGCTGCGCGAAAAAACGGCGAATTTTTGGCAGAAAAACCCTTATTACGACGCCCTGGAAACAAAAGTGAACAAGTCTAGTTGTAAAATACAGAAACTAAATTTTCTATCTTGTGTTGTAGCCAGAATTCATGTTTTTTAGGTCCTTGATACTGAAAAATCGGGCAGAACATCTTCCGTCTGTGAACTATGCTAGCAGCTAAACTTCCAGCCGATTTTCTCCAAAATTGATGTTCTCCGATATCGATCTGCAGACAGATGTTGCGGCCTCTGGAATTTGAAACCGAAATTTCAATTTTGGGGTACTTTCAATGTAGGCCATGAGACATTTTCCAACTTTTCGAAAAATTGCTCCACTTTTTTAATTAATTTGTTTGTTGCCAAGTTTGAAGGACGCTTAATAGAATGGTTCAGGTCTCGGAAGTTTGCAGTCGGATTGTGTTTATGATAACCAATACCACCTGGAACACCTGGCTGTCCGCTAGAGGGCATTCGCTCACCATTGCATGCCAGCTGACAGGCAGGTAATCGTTCAATGGAAACATTTAACTGACAATGGCTATAATTAATTGCAAAAAAGTACTGTTTAAAACTTTATATAGTGGATATTAATATATATTTGTTTCATAATATTCTATTATTCATATAGTCTTAACTGTAATTTATCTCATCTTTGACAACATAAAAGAACTTTTATTTACTAATGAATTGAAAAAATTAATTCCACTGTTTAATTTACTTTCTACAAAATATTAATACATCACAGAACACTTTATTTATTTACAACAAGTAATGAAATGGTGAATACAGCTATAGCTGCAATGCTGTCTAAATATGTGATTCTGTAATCAAATTCAAGGATAAATCTATTTTAGATCATATTTGTTTTGTATCTACATTGGATGTTAATCTGGAGTGAACTTGATCTACTCACGATGTGACGCCAGCAGCGTTTGCGAAGCACTTGGTCAGTCCCCCACCAGTTGAGTGTGTCGCCCCCGCCGTTGAACTGCGTCCACATCGCGTCTTGCTCTGCTTAAATCGGGCCCTCCTCCTTCGCAATCTGCCTGCTCGCATTATCGTCCTTTTTATCGTGTAGCCACTTCCCGTTGTTTGCACCAAACTCAGTGTTTTCGATCCGCTTTCCAGATAATTTGGTCGTCGGGAGGACTTTTTGATGTTCTACAAAATTATTTCTAACAAATATATGTAGTGTCTTTCATAAAAGTGTAATAACATATGGTTTGTGTGTTGATGAATTCACACTGATATGTGAAAATAGATACTGAATATTCGGAGAAGCTTTTCTATATTTGTATGCACTTTTAACACTTCTGCACGGAATATAGAATTTGCCTTCACTGTTTATTGCTTCGAAATTGTTACTTACGGTACGCGACCGCAAAGAGATCTTGGCCATGTAAAACAATTGAGAACTGCAAAGTAAACAAAAAACTGGGACCACTTCAATAAATATTTCTACTACCTCGCATTTTGCGAATAATATCAAAGGTACAGGGTAAAGTGTAGTAAAGTATGTTAAGATATGGTACAGGTCGAATGATGCCATTCTTGTAAATTTCGATAAATTCGTTCAAAAAATATTTTTCGCAACTTGTACAAAAGTGTCTTTGGCGAACTCATTTCAAAATACATCAACTGCTCAACAAACATGACGTTTATTTCGTACGCCCAAGACTAGCTTTTGTTTTAATTACGTAATTAACTTTATCCATACCCCTGAAATACGGAAAAAGACCAGGATTGCTCAATAGGCTAAAACGGGAAGTCCTTATTGCATCCTTCAAAAGGCTGGGAATTCATTGGTATGTGTGTGTAAATTTGTTATTTTCCTTGGTAACATACTTTTTTTATGAGTTTGCTGAAAGATATTCTTTGTTTTTCATTCTAAACACTAAATTAGCTTCTTTCCGTCCCCAATTTAGAGTTCACCGTATGTCAATATTTGTCCGCAGAAAAGAAACCTACACCGAAGGCATATTTCGTCATCCCTTACAACAGCAAAAATACAGCCAATGTTTCCTTCTTAGTAGGCAAATGCTAGAGCGCTCTGAATCTCGGAGTTGTAATGTGATGCAATCTGTATGCTGTGTGTGCTGTAAGCGTCTCAACGTCTAATGTAGTAGCTTAAGTAGTTCATACATTGGTATACTTTCGATCACACTTATCCGAACTGAGTCGAATACTGACAAATGAAAGACAATTATAAAATATATTAAACGCATATATTGATGACCGTAAGGTTTTGGCTTCTCAGTAAGTGAAGATATAATATAGACAAACTGGAGTGGACCAAAAAAGGAAATTATTGGAATTTTTGGGAAAATATTATATTATTTTACAATAGTTTTATTCGGAAATAATGAAAAGAGACGCAAACTAACCATGCATTTTTTATTTTAATTCCACATTTTGAGTTTTAAATATATCATTTTATTTGTTTAAAAATAGTAATTCAATTTCTCCTTGGATTACTACGTCATAAATCTAATGTAAACGTATTTACATGATAATAAAAAAAACTTTCTGTAAAGATTTTCAAATACGCATAATGTAGTAACAATCAATTACAATTACATACAATAATGTCTCGAATACATGGTTGAAACATGTTATTTAAGGAAAGGTTTAATTGCAAGAAATAGAATTGCTATTATGCAGGCATCGATAATTTAATTATTTTCTATTCTAGAATTTAAAATATCTGCAATAACAGTGGGGACTACAAGTGAGCCAAAATTGAAATTAATCAAATCGATATCTTTATTAAAATATCCTGTGATGTCTACCAGCTTTTGTCTATTACTTTTTAATATTGGAGTATAAAGTTCTATGTATTACATATTCCAATTTTCAGTAATTGTAATAAAATGTGTTAAGTTATGAAGGATGTGTTACAGACGCTGAAGTTAGAAATTTACATTTTACCACATCACAAGAGACAAAAATATATAAAACCCCAGCTCTTGCTGGATGGACCAACGTCGAATGAATGTTGACAGGGTAAATTTTTCAACTGTTTCTGGTCCTGAAGTACATTAATGCCGACACTTCACGTTATACTGAACGATCACGTATCGTGATTTATAATTCCAAAACGGCGTTATGGAAAATATTGTTGTTGGCAAGAACGTACACAAACTAAAAACAACTGCGTCGCCTCTTACTTTTGGAATTTCGTCTGCTGTCAGTTGGCAGCCCTCTATTGGACGACGGGGCTGACTCAGCGGTGTCTGTAACCACATCCGTTGCTTCAGAACTCTTCGACTTTTTCTGCGGCCCATAATCAGTGGAAACGGGTTGAAATATGGTGAAGCATTTCTCGGAATGTTTTAAATCCGAGACCCGCCCGGCAGGGACTGCGGCCATGAACAAACTCGTCGCAGATACGGAGGCTACTCCGAGACTTGGGATCTGTCCCACCACACATTGTGCGTCGCCGGACAATGTAAGGGAGCCATTGGAGCCAAATATGGACATAGTGGGAACATCTGAATCCGATGCCACGTCTGTTGATTGTGTAATGGTTTCGTCTGTTTGAGGGAACATCGTGTTATTTGAAGCATCGATATCAAGAGCCAAACCTTGGTCTTGTGCACAAATAGACGTCAGCGAAACTTGGGAACCAAATAAAGATAAATTTGTCACATCTAGTTGTAGGGTTTCGTCTACTTTTTCATACGTCTTGCTGCTAGTGATGTTATTGAAATCGGAGATGTGAGATGAAGGTTTCTGAACGTTAGAAGTTGATGTGAGGGAGACGGTGGACCCAAATAATGCCTGCGTTGCCCTGGCGGTTCGTGATAATGAAGCTGAGTTCGGCATTGCGTCGTCTGTCGATTGTATCTTCCTGAAGCACGAAGGTGAATTAATGACTATGCGAGGATTTGTATTTTGGGGTGGTGAAGATGCGGCACTTCCAACTGAATCCTCTTCAGGGAAATCTTTATCATTACGTCCTGAGTGACAATTCTGCCCGGCGGATATTTCAAGAAAGGCCGCCCTATCTGCTGCGTTTTGGGTGCATAAATCAGTGAAATCACGCTCTAGAGCCCGCTTGCAGCCACGCGGTGGCCCCTCTGCCCTTCTGAGGTGAATAGCCGTCTCCCTCGGAGCCGCGGCAGCGCCTTCCGGACACGAGCGCCTGCGGAAGTGGGGCGCGTGCGACACATCGCAAGCGAATCCTACGCGCATGCTCGCCTCGTGCACATCGGGCAGCCCGGGGCACGAACTGCGGCGCGGCCCGAAAGCAGCGCCCGCCGGCAGGCCCGCCGGCAGGCCCGCGCGAGGAGCGCCTCCGGGCGGGGCGGGGCCGACGTGAAGGACGCGTGACTCTCGCCCGCGGGCGCCGCGGGTCCGCTCCGCCGGCTGCCGCCCGTCCTCCGAGTCGCCGCTGTCGTCCGCCCCGCGGCGAGGGCGGCAGTTGGTCTCCGCGGCGCAGACGCACAGGGCGAGCGCGAGGCCGGCCGCCAGCAGCAGCACGTACTCCGCCACGTCGCCCAGGGCGAGCGGCGCGGGGCTGCGGGCGGAGCGCTGGGCGGCGATACGCGCGCGGGCGCGCGGCGAGACGCGGTACGCGGCCAGCTCCGCGCGCTCCTGCAGCGCCGCGAACTGCTCGCGCCAGCGGCCCAGCAGCCCGGCTTCCGCCAGCCGCAGCGCCAACAGGCTGACGGCGTCCGTCCACGGCCAGTTGCTGCCAGGGGTTGAGCAGCACGTTAACTACACGCTGTCACTGTTACTATTGTAACTTTTTTCTTTCTTATTACAAAAATATTCATTTAACAATTAACTTTTACTACCTACAAATTAAAAAGAAAGCAATGAAAAATATGAAAAATACAATTGCCATTGAAAATTAACCCGAGACAACACGTAGTTTACACAGAATTATCAGACAAATAGAAATTAAACACAACTTTGATAACACGCCTTGCGCTAGTGCCAAGCGTTAATAGTGGCGTGAAAGGATGCTAGCAGAGGTTTATGACGGACGTTTTCTATGGTTGCTGCCGAAAGCTGCAACCGCGTGTTCTCTAGGGAAGATTAAATAATTTGATCCCGGTTTTAAGTTTGGCTCTGTACAATTATTGGTACTTCTCGTCGACGGTCCAGCAGCCCGGCTTCTGTCAACAGCAGCCTGAACAGATTGGCGGTGTCCCCATGGCCGGTTGCTGAAACAGGCGGGAGGTCTTCCACCGGGGAGGTCAATATGTTTAATACAGCACGCCAGGAAAGTCTCTCCGAACAGAGATGAATTAGGTCCGCCCAATAAAAATTGCATTTGTGTTTGTAGCAACCAGATCACTCGAAAACAATTGAAAGTAACAACACCTCCACCATCTATTATGAGTGTGGTTAATTTACGGTTTGTAGCTGCAGTTGGAGCTACCAACATAATTTCTGTTTGACTTTCCTGGTGCGCTATAGCCTTGAGCTAGTGTCATGCTGTGAGCGTATCAGCGTTAATGCGATGAAAGAAAACTTGCTTTGATTTGTAACGGAATTTTTCTAGAGTTGTTGCTATCGAAAGATGCAGAAGCGTATTCATTAGGGAAGATTAAATAATTTGAGTTGAAAGTTGTTCTGTGTAAAAATATTAGTACTGTGTGAATCGTTTCTCTGTAATGAAATAAAGAAGCAGATAACATAAAAATATATTGCAAATATTTTAGGAACTAAAGACTAATATGTAAACGTTGGTTGGTGGCGCAAGATCGACTCTGCTCCTGCTTAAATTTTATTAAATTGGTAGAGTCGCGTCTAAAAAGAGGACGATCACAGAAAAATAAATATACTAACAACAAACATATTTATATACATTTCACTTTAACATATATCAGATGCACATCTGAGATAGAGTTCTTTCATATTCTTCTCGTGTGGCAAAGGGGCGAACGTTTATGTGAAATGTCAAAATTTGGGGCATATATGATTTTAGAATATAATTTGTTATTACATTTCGTCAGATGTCGTAATTCCTTCTTGATTACTTCAAATGGTGACTTGTTTTAATATCAAGGTAGAAATTAATTTGGAATAAGTGACTGACTACCAATTCACTTGGAGAAGGATTAAGAAGTGGAAATTGAAAACGTGTAAAATAAAAGTATGGTATGAACACTTCATTAAAATATTTAGGTGCTAAAACTTTCCATATTCAAGGGAACCCAAGGTTAATTTATTGAAATTTATAGGACATTCATTTATTCAAAAAACAATTAGTGGTGCTTCAGAATGGCACATACATTCCCATATTTGTTTTTCTATTTCCTTTGGTTTCGACTTGCTATTAGAAGTTGCCACATACTCTGGCCAGATGCCACCTATCGCAAACCAAAGTACATTGTTTGATATTTTCTTTTTAGTAGTTTCGTAATAGTATGTTTACTAATAGTTCAACGTAAATATTATTTTATGAATATTAAAGATCTGTAAAAACCCATTTGTAAATGGCAATTTTCTTTACAAAATGTGAAGCCATTTTTAAGAAAATAGCGTTAAGCGCTACTGTAAATTCAAAATTTAAAGCTCTTTTTCTCAGAATAAATTTGAGTTTTTGAAAAACTTCATTAGATATTATTTCAAAAACTTCAACTCACAAATACAAAAGTGCTGGAAATGTGCATACTAACGGGCTGAAAGATCTTTCAAAAAATTACATTTCTGGAATTTTTTAAATAAACATCTGAAAAATACCTTGAAATGAACTGTACGTCGTATTAAAGAGGGCAATTAGCACTATCCGTTCGAAAACTTTAAAGAAAAATGTGTAGCTGTTTTTGAAAAATGGTCTATTAGTGTTTCTGAATATGATGAATTTTGAGGTAATTTTCGCAGAAAACGGTTTGGTTTGGAGAAACTTTATTTGACATTCTTTAAATCACAAGTACTTATAAATATAATAAAGTGAACAAATTGTCACTAATATAAATATTAACGACGGGAGAGACAAGTCAAACAAATTAAATGTTTTGAAAAAACAAAAGAATATAGCAAATGGTATTTATTTCATCTTATAGGGTGCATTTATCACTATCCTCACGACAAGTTAAAGGAAAAAATCTGGAACCGTTTTTGAGAAAATCTTGTTTTTGTAATTTTTTAAAATATGACATACGGCTCGAAGTATGGCGCGAAAACTTAAATACTTCAAAAAATGACCTTAATGAAAGAAGTCACTTGGATAAAAAATTAAATTTGAAGAAAAACTCTCTATCTTCAATTTTGTAGTAGTAGGAAGGCGCCCGAAAAAATTTGAAATTTTCGAAAATTCAGATAGAACATTTGCCGCCTTTATACTCGTATTTTACTCTAATTTTCAAGAAATTTAAATAAAAAATTGGAGCCGTTTTGAGAACATTTTGAAAATGTCCGGAGGGCTTCTTGTAAAGAACCGCCCAAATTTTGGAGAAAGTTTTTCAAAATCGCAACGCCTTGAGTCGTGGCAGATCGACCAGGAAAATCCATATTGGAAAAGAATCTAGGTATGGGTTAAGAGCTAGAGGTGTTCACAGACGTACGGACGTTTTGAAAAAAAACTGTGTATTTCCGTTGAAATCTCGAAATCTATTTTCCGCGTACGGAGAGTTGCAAGTGGCTGAACGGTTCCGCGGCGCCCTCACCCCGTGGCGTGCCACGCCGCGAAGGAGCGCTCGGCCCAGTCGCGCATGACGTGCACTCGCCGCCGCAAGAAGATGCCCGAGCGGCGCCCGAACCACTCGTTGTCCCACAGCGCCACCGCCTGGCGCTCCGCGTCCGGGATGTGCGTGGCCAGGCGCGTCTGCTGGTAGGCCCTGCGCCGCGCCGCCAGCTCCGCGCCGCGGTACGTCTCGGCCAGGATCGCGTCGTGGGGCCTGGGCACCTGCGCACCCACGCACACGGCCACTCAGGACGCACGGCGAGGCCGGAGGGCGTGGCACAGCTTTCGTGCAGACCTGACTGCACGATTTCTGCGTGGAAACTTTTGAGCGTGCTCGTAATATCTCGTGCAGAAAACTTTCAATTTGATTCAGGCGCTGCTAGCGGCAGAATCGTTTACTAACGGATTTGTTTAGCTAACGTGACGGTAATCGGCCATTTCGAGTTTATGGTCAGATGTGCCAAGGTGCGATTGTGTGAAGTGATATTGTGATAAACACCCGCTTTCCCTATTCCCGCCTTTCTATTTGTGTTCACAACGCTCCTCATGGTTAATTAATACTTCATAAACCACAGCCAAAGCTCACGCACAGAAATACCGCCACTGAATGTACTCGGACGGCGCAATTCAGTTGTTTACCAGTTGACTCTCTTGCAGCGTCTTGTGGTGATGCTAACATAAAACGTACAGACCGTGTTTGACCCACTTTTGACTATCTTTGAGATCATGAAGCTTCTGTACAGAATCTGCATGAATATTTTATCGTGTATACCGACCTTTACAAACGTCTAGGCACGTCATTGAATTCAATGATGCCTCACTTTTCGTGGCGAGACTCAGTCCACAAGGTCCCTTTTCCGTGTGGCCACGCAAATTCTCTACAATCCTTTGACGGCGGAGAAAAAAGGCTTCACTATGGCTGGGAAACAATCAATGTTTTTGCTCAGTGGCTTCTTTTTAGAGGATATTTTACATGCATATTTTTTTGTAGTGAATCTACAACACGGAACAGCCGTTTTTACCTCTCCATACTAAGGAAGGCGTGCGGATGATTTTTTAACCCTGTAAAATCCACGGCAACGATCGGGTTTGAACCCATAAACATGAGTATTACATTCCGACATGTTAACACATAATATGTTCCACCAAAGTAGCCAGAGGGGTCACGCCGCGTAAAGCGGGCGAAGATGCCAACTTTTGGGCAAGAGGCTTTTTGTCAACGGACACGAGATAGGAAATTCAAATAATGAATTTACCCACGCAACCCTTGTTTCTGATTACTGGGCAACTCCTCTTTGCTGCATCACGTCACCTGCTGAACATTCATGTTCATGAATTGTTGCCTAGCAATCGGGGGCAAGTATTGAATATGCAACTTCGTTTCATGACATTTCTTACCACTTCCGCTTCATTGTTAAAAAAATAATCTTACACCCCTCTACTTGCTCTGGTAATTTGAAACATTTATTCCGAGACTTTCTGTAGTTATTAGGAATATTTTCTCCATTATATCCACCGGGGTTTCTGAATAAATATTATTGATTTCTTGGTCAGGTAGGCGAGTTAAATATAATTTCTTGCGCCTATCACCATATGGCGAGAAATCTCGATTTAACAGTGTTACCAGTGTGACATTTCCAACTTCGCCCCATTCTTGGTGGCAACACTGACGATTGACGGCCTGCGTGTTCAGTACGTCGTGGATTACCGAACTTGTGGCGAAGCCAGCTGTTTGCTAGCGTCGTCTGCATTGCGTCAATCGCCTCTGGTGGCGGGTTGTCGTGGAGTTTGTTCGTGGCACGCACTGTTCCATGGCAGAGTGCAAGCGGTTTTCACAGTAATCATGCAGTTTGTGTGCGCGATGGCTGAACGCAATGGCAGGACCACTTACTTGGGTAGTATTACGAGTTTTAGAGCTCGATAACTACTGAGGATATACCCGTACGTATTGCACAAGTCCCGTAAGTGTTGTGCACGTTTTATGAAGAGCACTGGCGGTGGTCCTCCCCGCTGGGACGTGAGGTCTGGCGCCGACCTAAGCGTCAACTGCCAAGATATGATTTAAGCGGACTAACGACGTGTGTGGTATGGTAGGGCATTTAAGTATGAGGGTGTGCACGGCTAGAGGAGGATCGAAGTGAAGGAAAGAATATTGGTCGATCGGTGATCGGTTTGAGATGGAACTACTCGGGCATTCGTCTGATATTGTGCCCAGAAATCTCGGAAATGCAGTGATCAGAGATGCCTGTCTCCAAAATTATCCTTCCAACAGTGGTTGATTTTGACTCACTGTATAGCTATAGTGAAAAATTCCCCACGGGCGGGACTCGAACTCTGAACGACGCTGCACAGGCGACGGAGGGTGCCGCTGCTCCCCTGCAGACGGTTCACCGCTCGAAGACTGTGTGGAGAGAATATCGTAGCGCGATTCGCCGAATATTAGGGTACCTCGCAACTCTATCTGTCTCCTTCAGCAATTTCCATAGCCTAAGGCTTCAAAACAGAGACAAGAAACAAACTTATATATCGCACTGTCATTGCCATCGGTCATGTTTGGGTTCAGTCGAGCTGCAAGGATGAGTTGCCTATTGATAAAGGGGCTTTATCATTGATGTCACTTGCGTAACTTCGTCAAATGAGATTTCCTTTGCGTGGTCATTCAGAAAGGTCGATGATTTTTCTCTTATCGCAACCCCAGTAGAAGTCTGCCAAAAGTTCGTAAAAATAAATTTTGAGTTAGTTGGTGGCTTAAGTGCTCGTTAATGAAGTACGTGTCGTGGGAAAATGGCACAGGTCTACTTGTAAAGATGACGATTTTTGTGCATGTAATTCAGTTTTGCTTTCATGCTATTCTGAACTATTCAAATAGTAGATTTCCAAATCTTAATTTTGGTTTTCTTCTGATACACATCGTGTGAGTACAATCTTACAAATTGTTATTGGAAATTTATATAAACTCAAGCGCATAACAATAGATGATTTTTTGACTTCAAACGTTTAGCTAGTCAAATGGGTAGCAACTTCGACAATAATGAATATTGAGAAAAAGTTGTTTGGACTGTCAAAGCTGCAACCAAGCGATATGCAAACAAGAAAAGATGCAGCGTTCATTCTAGAATATAACACTGCTGGTGAAGAGTTACAGCAGAAAAACACTAGGCAACAATGCAGAGGTCATGGTCAGACAGGATACTTGAACTTTCAAAGGCTTATAGGAAAACCCCTTGCATAACTGAGGCCAAGAAGGACTTACTGTACTTATCTGATGCGAATTAGATTTCTTCCCAGTTTCCTACCTTTTTCAGAAATATCACAGAAAACTCAAACGATTGTGAAACATTGCAACATAAAACTGGTTAAAATTGGTGTGAACATGGTGAAAATTTCTGTCTACCATTTCTGCAATAACTCCTTACCAATTCAACATACTGAGTAGAAAGCTGCCATAACTCAAAATAATTATTTATAAATTTAAAAAGCGTGTACATTGTCAATCAAAAGGATTTTTAATTAATGGTATATTATTTAATAATGTTAAAAGTTTAATATACACTATTTTCACTTTCCTGAAATAACGTTGATTATTTTTTCTGTCTCAAAATCTTTATATGATTCTCCTGCAAAAACTGCTCATTTTGACTTGCGACAGTTTTCCACTAAGGATACGATATGCAACATTTATTCTGAACCACCATGTATATCGAAGGTAGGGTTACTTAAGTAGTTGCGATGTCTCGGGGAATCGGAAGTTCTAGTGATCCTCAAGCAATCGCCTGGTAGCATCCAGTTCAGTTTTCTTTTTGAACAAAGTGATTTAGCGGCGTTGCGGTGATCCGCTTTGACTGTTGGTATTATTTTTAATAGAAGCCTAGTAGATATGATAGTTATCGATATATTGTTATACCGTATAATTTGTAGTAATGGAAATACAGTAATAATGATAATGCAATTGTAATCTTCATTGATTTCTTATCAAAATTAATACAAATGAAAGTGGGTCTTTTGCGGCGAGGTTTTAATCGCGGAATGGCTATCTATACCATAAGCTCAACTTGATTTGATGCTATAGAACACAGTGTCATGAGCTAATGGTGCTGATGATGAGCCTGGTTGGTGTTACCTTGTGATTGCGACCGCTAATACGACATTTGGACAATTATTTCGGGCGTCACATAAATATCCACATAAATAATTATTGTTAGCTCATTCTATTTCTAACCGCCTCAATTGCTTTACCATTTCTTCAACCTCTGACGTTCTCCACCTACCCTTAAATAAATTTCAATTTGATACACTCGCAGGATTTTCACGAAGTCACAGAGACCTGTAGCCAGCACAGAATTTTATTTACTGTTATTGAGTTTAAAATATCTACCAAGAGATTGAATCTATCTTGACCAATTTTCAATTTGTGGAATATTCTGGAAGGAAATCCGGTGTGTTTATAAACAGATATATTAAATTGAACGTACTAGTTTTAGTCCTTTTATTGCATTGCAACATATATGATCCGGCTATACTTATAAACGCAAGTGTCTCAGAATAAATGTGACTACGTTCTAAGCTATTTACGTAGATGGTAGAAAATAATCACTTTTTGTCAATGAACAAGTAGTGGCAAGTTTTACATAACAGAGTTACACATGTGTATTTTGTCCTGATTTTTAGACAACTTATTCACAATGTGTTCTTCAGACCACGTCCTGGTGCATTTAAGGAAATTTCATATATCTGCCGAACATCTACGCAGACAGGATTAACCAATGTCGAATGACTCAGTGTAAATGAACGCGAGTACTTGCAATTTCCCGCATCAAATGTTCATTGTCAAAAATGATCATTTCCGGCTCGTCTAGAAGATGCATGGGAAGTTATTGTGAGGCATTTGCGCAAGGGTCTTAGAAGAGCACCTGGTCCATGCTGGTGGTGACGATGGGCAGGCGCGCGTCAGCCAGCTGCTGGAAAGTGTCGATCTCGGCGTAGCGCTCGCGCCGGGAGATGAACCTGAAGAGGCGGCCCTGGGGGCAGACAATCACTTCATCCGAGTGTTTCCCCTTTTCCGCTGCCGCCGTTGGGGGTTGATGAGGCGGCAGTGGAGAGGGGGAAACCCGCTCGCTGGAACCCGTCGCAAACCCCAGTGGCGGGCGGTGACCCCGTGGGTTGCGAATTGCAAGGGGCGTCTTGAATGTCCGAACTATCACGTTCAATCTTCCTCTTCAACGATAATAAACTATGGCATGTAGAGTACAACCGATTTGCACTATCAGGGTTTTAATATTTGTCCAAGACTACATGTTGATAACGACGGATACAATTGTTTTCACGCGAAAATAAGAGATTAAAAATATTTTTGAGCAAATAAAACAGTAATTTATGAAAGCAGATGAAGTGATCGGGAATTTTATCTCAGTCAATAGGCGCGCAGCAACTCCCAGAACCCCAATCTCTCTGCTGCTGCCACTGCCTCGCATGCGCCAGCTACTGACGAACTCCTGAGAGTCCATAACAGTGCCCGCGCCAAAAACGTTTGTCATTCGCATAATCAGGCGCTTAAAACTATATTCGACTTCAACAATTGAAGGCGTCGATGTATTTCAAGTGCAACTTGTGTCGTCTCACCCTGAAGGCGGCGTCGACGACGACGCAGGCGACGGCGAGCGCGGCGGCGAGGAACAGGCTGGGGCGGCGGCCGCGCCGCGCGTCCGCGCCCGCCACCAGCCAGCGCCCTCGAGGGCGGCGCGCCGCATAGCACCAGCGCCGCCGGCCGCGCCGCCCAGCGCCGCCCACACGCTGCTGCGAGGCGCGGCCGGCACCCGCACAGCGCCCAGGCCGCGCGCGACGGCACCGCCTAGCAACCTGCCCGCGCCACGCGCCCCGTGCCCTGCGGGGGCGGAGCAAGGTGGTGGGGTGGCACTTCCATTTGCTTTGGGGGTTCCTTATGCCAAATATTGGATTTCTTTCAATACGAAAGTGTAATTTTCATCATCTGAATAATGTGTGTGCGTTTGAGTACGCTTGTGTGTATGAAGTGCGTGAGGTTACGCGCCCGCGTGTTGGCGCGCACCTTGGATGAGGGCGAGCGGCGCGGTGTAGGGCGAAGGGCGGCGCAGGGGCTCCGGGGCGAGGTGCGCCGCGCCCGTCGCCAGCAGCGCCGCCAGCTGCTCCGCCCCCAGCGCCTCCTCGTCCGCCTCCTCCGCGCCGCGCGGGGGCTGCGGCGGCCCCTAACACACGCGCACCTTGCACCAGCGACGTAGCAGATGGACGCACGCACCTCGGCTGCCACACCGGCCGCAGAGCTCGCGCGCGCGGGCGCGAAAACTGCCCAACTCCTTCCTCAGAAACTACGTTCGCTTTTAGGAGAGAGTGCGGTCCCACAACGGTGACAGCAGTTGCAGAACAGCGAGGGTGTTCATGAAGGATGAACGGTCTCACTAAAGTTTTGTAATTTTTATATAGCGCCTAAATAACTTTAAGTAAAAAGTGGTGGTTAAACACAAAATATTTTTAGAGTAAATTACAAAAAAGTGTTTTAAAAACCATATGTAATGTATTTTGTAACCATATTTATGTGCGTTTGCGCCCGCTGGTCGAAATGAGGTGTTCATTTCGGAGTGAGGATGTTAGTAAATGTTGCAAGTTGTTGAATGGGGGCAGTTAAATTCTTCGAACGTATGTTTTGAATGGTCCCAATCAAGGCGCGACGAGACTCTCTCGCTCCGATTCTAAATTAACCGCTGGCTTTTCTTGCACTCTCCTCTTCATGGATTCGTGATTGAATAAATAACTTGACCATTGGTGAAGAGGAGAATAACCTTAGTAATACCCAGAAAAAAGAACCTTCTCATAATTTTCCAGCTTACCAAGAGGAACTAGGATAACAGCGCCGATCGGAATGGTAAAAATGAAATAGAGTAGCCGGTTCCCTCACATCGGTGCGATGTTTTCCGCTGGTCCTGCAATTTTTGTGATGACTTATGAAGATGTTCGCTTCGGCCCAACGGCTTCTAGTAGCGACGTGAGATCGTGCAACGATTTGTTTCGCGAGCTGGTGATTAGACGCTGCCGTGTAAACGCTATTGGTCACCATTTTGTCGCATTCAAAGAGAATAGTTGGGGTTACGTAACGGTAGATTATTACATAGGTTTAGGGAGTCTAAACTGATTCGATTCTGGAATCGAGTCTTTTCTTCCAATTCCTTTGGAATCGGAATTCGATTCCTTTGGTTTCTATTCTTGTTTAAATCGATTCCACATTCCAGGAATTGAATCAAATGAATGCTGTTGACTTTTTTAAAGTTGTGCATGGCAAACTGATGAAATAAGATTACGTTGTATTTTCTATTTTTTAATGAATAATATTTGGTTGCATAAAAAAGTTAGCTTTACACCAAGTCTGGACCCCATTCGGAGAGAAACAAAGACAATTATTTTGTAGGAGTGCTACTGCAGACATAATTGTTCTTTAACGTTTCACAATCTGTTGTTGACCTAAATATTTTAAAGCAAGACACACGTAGGTTTTGATCTTTGAACCTTCTACAGATTATTATTCTCATCTTGACCTTAATACCTAGAGGAAAATTATACAAGCGAGATACTTTAAATGTTAAATTCCCGTAACTAGTTCCGCTGAATTCGTTATTTGAGATATCATTAAAATTCGATTCGTTAGGATATATGTGTATATGTATACTTTTTCTTACGATTCGATTCCCATATCGATATTTTCGTTGGATTCGTTTGTGTTTTGCTACCATGAAAGGCGAGTACCGCTGTGTAAAAGAGAAGATACTCATTTGAATATGATCCTGACCTGTCGTACCCGGAACCGATTCTTTTGAATTAGCCGCTACGGAGTAGAGAGAAAGTTGTGTAATTCTGCACGAAAAAATTAGCCCTGGTAAAGAAAAATTTGATCAAATCATTTGCTATATTTTGAAAAGAATCCTCTATCACGTGGTGCCACGGTAGATCCTTCAGGTCTTTCATAACGAAAAATTGAATGATGGCAAAACGTGTTGTCTGTCTGTCAGTTTTGTGAACAAAGCTAGCTGCTAAACCCTTCAGCCTATTTTCTCTAAAATTGACATTTCTCAATCGATCTGTCTGATGTTCATATGTCGGCCCCTTGAATTTGAAATCTATATTTTAATTTTGTGGGGAACTTTACATAAAGCCCTTGGGACATTTTCCAAATTTTCAAAAACATGACTCTATTGCTTCTGGTTAAATTTTGTTGTTGGATAGTGTAAAAGACGTTTAAGACAATGCTACAGGTCTCATGTTCGTTGAGAACCTTAATTTTTCGAAAATTGCAAAAGTTCAATATTTTTTGGCGTCTTCCTACAAGTACAATTATGAATTAAAGGTTTTTTCCCTTAATAGAATCTGTCACTTAATTATAAATGTTTAAATGCCATGTTAAATTTTCAGAAAGTTGAGTACTTTTCGCGTAATTTTGCGTGGAAGAACGAACGAGAAAGTAGTGCTGTTATACCACCGCTAGTTAAGACATCGAATGCCCCTGAGCACGTGCGCTCGCGCGTCGGCGGCAGTGAGACCCAGCCCAATCACGAGAACGCAGGATTACTTAGGTGTTTATCATTTTTGCACGTTTCTGCAGATTCTGTTAATTATGTTAACCTTAATACCTAGAGGAGGGGTACTTAAAATGTTCCAATAACGGTAACAGTACTTTCGTTGGCTACTCACGTGCGCCGGCAGCGCCACCCAGCGCAGGCGCAGGCGCGCGCGCAGCTCGGCCAGCACGAGCGCCGCGACGTGCGCCTCTGCGCGCGGCCGGTAGGTGGCGACGGGCGCGCCGTTGGCGTCCCGCGCGCGCGTCCACGGTGGCCGGACGGGGAGGCGAGGCGGGAGGCGAGGACGGGGAGGCGAAGGACCGGGGAGCGGGACGGGGAGGCGGGGACTGGGAGGCGAGTGGGCGGGGAGGCTGTGAGGTCGGGGAGGCGAGGGCGGGAGCGCGGGACGGCGGTAGGCGAGGGCGGGGAGGCAGGAGTGTAGCGGGCGTCGCTGCGGCTGCCATCTGACCGCGTGCGCGGGGTCGTGATCGGCTGGCGCGGCGCGCGTCCTCGCGCAGTGAAGCGTATGCAATGTGCGCGAGGGCGGCGGCGGCCAGCAAGGTATGGCGGCGCGGCGCTCGAGCTTATGTTTGGTTGTTTCGGCGCGAGGGGGCGGCAGGGCGCGGCGCCATCAGCCAGGCGCCGGGGCGAGCGCGTGGGCGTGTGCAGCGCCGGCAGCCGCGCCCGGCGCTCGCCCAGTGTCCACCACGCCGCACCGCGGCCCCCGCC